ACCGGGCCGTCGTAAGAAACTGCCAGCGAATTCAGCTGCTACTCTCTCTCGTTGTTTCGGGGCCCCAGTTCAGCTGTAAAATGTCTTATCTCTTGGTCTTCTTAATACTGACCGTCGGTGTGCTCTGCTCGGCAGGCCTCTCCCCCTCTGTCTCTGTATGTGTCTCTATCTCTTTCTTTCCCTCACAAATGCAAATACATATACATACATATAGAGAATGCACACAACTCTCTCTCTCTCTCTCTCCCCCCCCAGCACCTCACACACATTTTCGCGCACACGCACACACCCTCTCTCTCTCTCTCTCCCTCTCTCTCACTCTATTTCCAGCGCACACACTCACACTCTCTGTTTTTTTTGTGTTCTCTCTCTCTCTCTCTGCCTCTCTGTTTCTCAGCACTGCCAGACATGCTGGCATTACATGTTCAGGGGGGGGTAGAAGGAGGAAGGGGGAAAAAAAAACGAGGAGGACGAGTATGAGGGTGACAGCGATGAGTATGGTGTGTGAGGGAGGGGTGCATGGAGGAAAGACGGTGAGACGTCTGAGTGCTGCCCCTCTGATGCCCTCCCCCCAGTTGCGCAGTTACCCGGTTGCGTTGCCGTGCAGATCCGACATCGCGCATGGAGAGTCTGTGTGGGAATTCGTGTTGCGTGGCCAATCCATTGGGAGAAGAGGCCTATGCGACGCCCCTGTGACTTGGACGTCGATGAGTTTGTCCGGGCCTCCGGGGGGCCGTCTTGGAAGTTTTCTGGGGCCGGGGGGGGCGTCCTGGCCAGGGCCACCTTCGGGGGCATACGGGGCTGCCTTTTCTTCGCCAGGGGCAGCCCGCGCGATGGCCTGGGGGCCCGAGGATGATGAGGACCCTTGTCGTCCTCGTCGTCCTCGTCGTCGTGGATTTGGTCCTCGTCCTCGTCGTCGTCGTCGTCGTCGTCGTCGTCGTCGTCGTCGTCGTCGTCGTCGTCCCGCACCGCGCTGAGCCGGCCGGACGGCCGGCGGCGGCGCCAGCTGCGGCGAGCGCTGCCTCGGCACGGCCACGTCCGCCGCCGACGAGTTCGAGCTCAGGCCGTTTTTTTTTCGGCGTCGTCGTCGGGGTCGCCTGCGTGCCTCAGCAGCAATCGATATCAGACGATCGCGAAATTGCCCGGGTGCCGGAGGCACGGGCCAACCTCCCTCCCTAGCTCTAGATTGACACGGCCTTCGGGCCGATCGGGTGCAGCGTAGCGCAGCGTCGGGGTCGCCGTCAACATCGCACGTCCTCCTCCCTCCTCGTCCTCCTCGTGCTCAGTACCCTCCTGCTGCCTCGAGGCGAGGGAGGAGGACAGAGGACAGAGGGATGACAACAATCACGATGCTGGCGACAACGATGATGACGATGGCTACGACGACGATGATGATGATGGTGGTGATGATTATGATAATGATGAGGATAATGATACGGAGGATGTTGATGACGATGATGACTTCAATGATGATGATGATGGTGCTGAGGATGGGGATGACGATGACGAGGTTGATAAGGATGATGGTGATGCTGATCATGATGTTGCTGCTGCTGATGATGATGGTGATGTGCATGATGACAATGACAATGATGATGTTTATGTTGGTAATGATGATGAGGACGATGACGACGGCGACGATGACGAAGATGACGGTTGTGATGCTGATGGCGAGGATGATGATGAGCATGACAATGTTGATGTTGTTGACGATCATCATCATGGTCACGATGGCGATGCCGATGATTATAATGAGGATGTTGAATGTTGATGACGAGGACGATGATGAGGATGCACACGATTTCGACGATGATGATGACGATGATGATGCTGATGGTGATGGTGCTGCTGCTGGTGATGATGATGCTGATGATGATGCTGTTGATAATGGTGATGCTGATGCTGATTTGGTTTTCGCGATGATCACAATGATGATGCTGATGATGATGATGCTGATCATGATGCTGATGATGATGTTGTTGGCGATTGTGATGAACATAGTGGTGATGCTGCTGCTGATAATGATGAGTCAGACGATGCCAACGCCGGCTATGATGATGATGCTGATGATGATGACGACGATGGCGTTGATCACGATGGCGATATCGACGACGACGATGAGGAGGGTGAGGAAGACGATAATGAAAATGATGATGAGGACGATGATGATGCTGATGTTGATCCTGACGATTGTAGTGAATCTGATGATTTTGACGCGGATGACGATGAGGATGCTGATTGTGGTGATGATGTCGATGATGATGCTTGTGAAGATCATGGTTCTGACGATCACGATGGCGACAACGCCGATGACGATCGTAAAGATAATGATGATGATGTTGAGGATTAGGTTGGTCATGTTGATGATGTTGCTGCTGATGATGATGTGTCTGGTGATGATGCTGACGATGACGATGACGATGCTGGTGATACTGATTATGATAATGATGATGGTGATGGTAACCACGATGACAATGATGCTGATGCTTTTGTTGATGATGATGAGGAGGATCATGTGGAGATGAGGTTGAGGAAGAGGGGGAGGGAGATCAGAAGCAGGATGGGGAGGAGGATGAAGATGCGGACGAGGCTGAGGGTGAGGATGATGCTGATGATGAGGAGGAGAATGGTGATGATGGTATTGATGAGGGGGAGAAGGAGGGGGAGCAGGATGAGGCGGACATGTTTTACTCCCACCACGAATGACTCCACCACTCCACCGCACACATAAGCAAGCTATCATGTGGTACCGCTCCCCTTGGGCCGGGGACCCTTGACGAGCAGCCTCCACTTTTTGCTCTCGTGAGGGTCGGCGGGAGGCTTGCGTCTCCTCGAAAGCTCAGCTTTCCGAGCACCAGAGGTGAAGCAGCCACACCACTGACACGCACGCACGTCATCGTTTTTTTATGCATTGTTTTGCCGATCGGCTCGGGCCCCCAAACCGCCCCTTCCCCCCCCCCCCATGGAGTAGATCTTGGCTGTTTTGGGCGCCTGTTTCGAGCAGGCGGAGTCTCCCCTCATAGGACCCACTGCTGCAGACAGTCGCACTAAGCAGAGGTCTGGAGCCAGACCCCCTCCCCCTTCCCCCCCTTCCGCCCAATGTCGAAACGCCGAATAAAAAAACGCTCACCACACGGGTCGTTGACCTTGTGGCTCAGCTCGAGCAAAGACTCGGGCTGGACCCTCAGAGACTGGGTGCCTTGTCTTCCTGGAGGGTTGGGCACCGAGCGGGGCCCTCGCAAAGAACTCGAGCGTCGTCAACACCAGCGCAGTGGGCTGCCAACCAATGCTCGCTCATGCACAGGCCCAGAGGGGGGGTGGAGAGCTCCTTTGGGACATGTACCCTCGCACTCCCCACCAGGTTTGTCCGAGGCTCACGCTGGAGAGCATTTGCCGTCATCACTCGGGGGTGCAACAGTGACACGTCGATTAGTGAATTGTCCGTTTTCGGTTCTCGAGAGGGCGCCGTGGCCGTTATTTTCCAGGCTTGCGCCCGCCAGGTGTGGGCCTCAGGTCGTTTTCACTAAACCACGTTTTACTAAAGGGGGGTCTGTCCATCTCCGAATCACCGTGACTGCACGGGCTACCGCCTTCGGTGTCAGGTCCGCCGCTTCACTGTATTCTCTCAATGATGGGAGGGCCCGGTGCTTGATGACAGGAAGCAGGCGCAAGCTATCCCAGTACACCACGCCCTGGGATTCTGCACCCTGTGTAGATTCAAGTCGGGCCTGTCCCTCTACAGGGAGAACATCCAAAAATAGTCAAAGAATAGTCTGGGGGCTATTTCTGTACCATTTTTGAACATTTTGAGGGTCTTGTTTTTGTATGTTTTATTTTTCGTCCAAAATCCCCCTGCATGGGGGACAGGTCCGACCGAAGCGTAGATGACAACGCGTGCCCTCTCTGCTTCGAAGGCCCCTGCGAGATCTCAGAGCACGAGCGATTCCAGAGCCTCGCCCCGGCTCCGGGGGGCCGCGGAGCCCCACTCCGCGCGTCGAGGAACATATGCCCCGTCGCACGCGGCAGCTCCACGCCCGAACTCGGACGGTGGGGTAACGCACTTCGTGTTAAGTCGGGCGTGTCCCTCTACAGGCCTGGCATCGCTCGGACGTGTGAATTTTTCCTTCGGCGAGGACCATCGAGGAGCATCCTTGATCATTTGGCGAAAAAACCACGCACGAAACCGAAAAGAACACAGGGAATGGACGTCCGAGCGATGGCCAGCAGGGGGGAGACTCCAACATAGTAAAAAAATAGCCTGGAGACGATTTTTGGACTATGTTTGAGCATTTCGGGGGTATTTTGTGAGTATTCGTTTTATCTTTCATCGAGAGTCCCCCTGTAGGGGGACACGCCCGACTTAAACTTCGTAGCCTGGAAGGCAGCCCTACCACCTCTCGCTTCGACCCCCGCGTATTCTGCCGCAGGGCATTGCCACAGCCTGTGGAGCACCGTGTCTCCTCCCTGGCGATTCAGCGGGCCACGGTCCTCGACCTGGTATCCCCCGGCGGGAGCCCTGCTCATAGCAAGCTGCGGCCCACCGCTCGGGCGCCTTGCCGCGCCGCTGGTTGGCGTTCCCGCGCCGTTGGATGGAAGTCTGGAGCCGTCTGGATCTGGCTCTGGGCAGGGAGCCACACGGTCTACGGACGATGATGATGATGATGATGATGATGATGATGATGATGATGATGATGATGATGATGATGATGATGATGATGGTTGCGGTGGTGGTGATTACGATCGTATCGGTGGTAATCGTAATGGTAATGGTACTGGTGCTTGTAATGGTGTTGGCGATGGTAATGGTAATTGTAATGGTGACGGTAATGGTAATGGTATGGGTAGTGGTAATGATGGTGGCGCTGACGATGGCGATGGTGTTGATGATGATGATGAGGATGATGGAGATATTGATGACGATGATGGTGGTGATGCTGATCAGGGGGAGGAGGAGGAGGAGGTTGACTAGGATGGTGTTGATGATGCTGATTACGATGATGACGAGGGCGACGATCATGATGATGATGCTGTTGATGATCATGACGCTTATTATGATCACGCTGCTGATGATGATAATGAGTATGTGTATGATGATGATAACGGTTGGTAATGTTGGCGTTGGTGGTGACGACGATGATGATAACAATGATGCAGTTGTTGATGGTGATCATGGGGATGCTAGGAAGATGAGGATAACGATCATGACGATCACGACTATCATGATACTGGTGACAATGATCATGATGAGGACGAGGACGGCGGCCATATGTTGTGTATGATGCTGGTGATGTTGATGACAATGATGGTGAGGATGCTAATGATAATGTCTGTGATGTTGATTGTGATGATGCTGTTGAGACTGGCGGCGAAGAAGCGACTACATGAATGGTGATGGTGGTGGTGGTGGTGATAATGATGTTGCCGATGATGGTGACGATGATGACGATGATGATGGTGTTGGTGGTAATGACGATGGCGGTGGTGCAGTGGTGGTAATGACGATGGCGGTGGTGCAGTGGAGCTGCTGATCCCCTCCCTTCCAGTGCACCTTGCAGTTTTCAATTAAAGTGTTCCTCCTGGGGTTCGCACCCTGTTTGTAAAACGGGAAAGTCCTGGTCCTCAGATAAAGCCCCTGGCCCCCGAGCTACAACACCAACGGCTCCCGCTTTTTGCTTCCTGACAAGTTATTCCAAAATCGCGCTCATGCAGGACTTTTTCACATGTTATGACGCAGTTGCGCTCCCGCGTGGACCCGCCTTCCCGACCTGCCCGTTATGGTCTGCGCGCTCGATCAGCCCGTCTGCTTGTGCCACGTGTTTTCTGCTCCTAGCCCCCCTCCTACAATTCTCCCTCGTGCTCATTTCTTCTCCCTCCCTCTTCCATCCGTCCTCTCTTCCCCTGGCTTAGGGGCTGCACCAAGTACACGTGGCAGGTGAGGAAGATATGCCCCCAAGGGGGCACCATCGAAGACGAAGAGGGCGGGTATCAAGGGTTTGGGATACACGTGGGAAATTGCACGCGAGCAAATGAAGGCGAACAGTGTTAAACTGGCTGTTGTCGTTGTTGTGGTTGCTGTTGTTGCTGGTGAGTGTGATGGTGATGTTGTTGATGATGATCATGCTGCTGGTGATGGTGGGGAGGAGGATCAGGATTATGATGTGGATGGGGAGGAGGACGAGTATGATGGGAAGAGGAGGAGGGAGAGGAGGAGGAGGAAGAGGAAGACGAGGTTGGTGGTGATGATGACGAGGACGAGGGGAAGGAGGAGGAGAAGGAGGAGCAGGAGGAGAAGGAGAAGCAGGAGCAGGAGGGGGGTGGGGGAGGGGGGGGGGGGAAACAGGAATGGGGGAGGAGACGAGAGGAGAGGAGGTTGAGGGTTTGAAGAGGACGAGGACGAGAAGGACGAGGACGAGGAGGAGGAGGAGGAGGAGCAGGAAGAGGGAGGAGGAGGACGAGGTCCTTCGGGTCTCAGCGCCCCCGGCCCCGCGCCCGCCTCCGCGCGCCCAGCGCCCCGCCGCCCAGGCCCGAGGAGCTGCTGCAGGAGGACGCGGCGGCCCGGGAGGCGAGGCAGCTGCGCGAGATGCTGACGGAGGCCCCGGGATCCGACGGCCCTCCTCCTCGATCCTCAATCCTTGTCCATCTCCTCCTCTTCTCCCTCCTCCTCCTCCTCCTTCTCCCCCTCCTCCTCCTACCCCTCATCCTCCTCTTACCCCTCCTCCTCTCTCCTCTTCCTCCTCCTCCCTCCTCCTCCTCCCCCTTCTCCCCTCCTCCTCCTCCTCCTCCTTCCTCCTCCCTCTCCTCCTCCTCCTCCTCCTCCTCTCCTCCTCCTCCCTCCTCCTCCCCTCCTCCTCCTCCTCCTCCTCCTCCTCCTCCCCCTTCTCCTCCCTGACCCTGTCCCTGCTTCTTCTTTCTGCTCCTGCTCCTCCTCCTCCTCCACCTCCTCATCCTTCTTGGAGCCATCCCCCAATCTCCACTTCTAAAATGTGTTCCGTGATGGCCGCCGCTGCGGGCCCGAAGGGGATGCGCTCGCCAATTCCCGCCGAGACGCCGAGGCCCTGGGATCCGACGTTGCGGAGTACATGTTCCGTCGCAGCGCGGCAGAGGCAGTCCGCACGCGCACTCTGGCAAGCCGGGCGACGGCATTGCGAATGATCCGGACGCAGGAGGCAAGACGGGGCAGGAAGGCGCGGCCGCGGGAGGACGGGAAGAGAACGAATGCGCCCACGCCGCGGTGCGAAAAACATGTTCCGCCGCAGCGCATGTCCTAATATGGTGCCGCAGATCAGAGCATAACATTACACACCAACGCATTCTGCGGCAGAAGAGATCCTGGCACAGCATACTTTAACGGAAGAGATCACAGAAGAGCAGAGGGATATCATAACATAACAAATTGTACGTCCATTTTGGTCAGCTTGGCCACGAGCCAACAGTCGCAGCAATAAGCGATTCGACGATGCATCTAACGTGACAAGCGTCACGACATCACGCCGGCCTATCGATATCAGAAGATCACAGAACACAATATCACATATTATATTAGGGCAGACTCCTACCACACACACACACACACACGTTCACACATACACACTCACACACACTCTAGCACAACATCGCGTGTGCAGTAGCCACCAGTCCACGGCGTTGCTCAGGCGTCACGACGTCACGCTGGCCCGTAGGGAACATACCAGGACAGAATAGAGCATGACATGGTAGAACGGTGCTACATGGAACATTGTGGAAGTGACAGGCGACGCGACGTCACGCCGGCCCGTCGAGATCACAACATCGCAGAAAACAGTATCACATACGACATTGGGTCATAATCCAACCAAACAAAGTATAGCACAACGTCACGTATACAGTAGCCAACACTTCACGGCCTCACTTACCGTACGTACATCATATCAGATTTGATGTGCGCGTTGAGGTCAGCTTGGCTACAGGAACCAACAGTCACAGCAATAAGCGATTCGACGATGTACTTCACATGACATGCGTCACGACGTCACGCCGGCCCGTCGAGGTCAGAACATCACAGAAAACAGCGTCACATACTACTGTGGGGCAGGATACAACCAAACAGGCTGTAGCACGACATCGCCTATATACAGTAGCCACCACTCCACGGCGTCGCCCAGGCGTCACGACGCCACGCTGGCCCGTCGAGGACAGAACTGGACAGAACAGAACATAGCATGATATACCGTTATTGTCAAATACTTATGACTACAGCAACGGCAGTAGTGGAGATCAGTACCACGACAGAACAGGACATGTCAAAGCACACTAACAGAGCATATTGTACAATTCTATACTGAGCCGAGCCGTCACCAGCATAACGGAACACAGCATACTATAATATAGTTTGAAAGAGCATATCATGTTCTAACATGGAGCCACAGAGCAGAGCGATTCGACGACGTATCTAACGTGACAGACGTCACGACGTCACGCCGTCCCGTCGAGGTCAGAACATCACAGGACACAGTATCACATACTGCGTTGCGGCAGATTCCAATCAAACGCACTATAACACAACATCGCGTGTATAGTAGCCACCATTCCACGGCCTCGCCCAAGCGTCACGACGTCACGCCGGCCCGTCGAGGTCAGAACATAGCGCAGCATAGTGTCAGATACTACATTGGGGCAGTATCCAACGAAACACACTATAGAACAACATCACGTATGCAGTAGCCACCGCTGCACGGCGCAGCCCCGTCGTCAGGCTCACCACAGGGGCAAACAGGCGCAGCAATGACCGATTCGACGACGAGTCGAACGCGACAGGAACCCCGAAGTTACGCCGTCTCCGCTCTCCGCCCCGCCTCCTCATCTTTGTCCTTGCCTCCTCCTTGCTCTCCTCTTTCCCCGCCCGACAGGTTGGGGTTGTTAAATTTTAACAACAGGCCCCCCGGCCCACCCCACCCTGCATACCGCGCCCTCCAGGCCCCACGTTGTCCCGATGATCCCCGAGAGTCCCGGGTGTCCCGCCTCGCGCCGGGCCAACCCCACCCTTCATACCGCGGCCGCCAGACCCCGAATTGTCCCGATGATCCCCGAAAATCCCGGGTGTCCCGCCTCGCGCCCGGCCAACCCCCTTCTGCATACCGTGGCCGCCAGACCCCAAGTTGCCCCGATGATCCCTGAGAGTCTCGATTGTCCCTGAGAGTCCCGGGTGTCACATACCAGTATCATGACAAAGTAGAGCACAATAGGACATCACATAACATATCATTACAGAACATGACGGGAAAGAAGACGGCATCACACAGCATAACATGACATAATCGAGCATACGATAACACATATTGACTGAACAGTTCAGATCATGACACGGCATCACAGAACATATCACAACACAACAGCAGAGAATAGCCACGACGAACACGACAGAACACCAGATGGCACAACATAACATAACACAGACAGTACATAACATTACATAACATAACATAGCAATGCCATTACAACACCGAGCATCACATAGCACGACATAACATACCAGTACATACATGGCATGACAGAAGACACCACAACACAACATAACAATACATAACAGAGTTTTACATAACATACCTAGACGGAACACATCATATGATTACATTGCACCGCCGAACATAGATAGCATCACACGACAATAGAGCAGAGCGACACATCTTAGCAGAGCAGATCATGACAAATGATCCAGCATCGCCGTCAACACACTGAAGATTACAAAACATACCAGAGCAGATTATGGCAGAACCGACGACGACAGAGCACACCATAACAGAACTTAGCCGAGCACCACATAGCACACCTTGACAGAACTTATCAGCTCATGCGGCAGCATCCCAGAACATATCAGAACAAGTCAGCAGAGCATAGCGACGACGAGCACGACAGAACACAACATGACACAACAGACCATGACATAACAGAACACGAGCATGACAGAGCGTGACATTACATAACATAGCAGTGCCAGTACATCGATCAGCACGAAAAACCACAGAACATACCCGTGCAGAACATGACGGAACAGAAGACGGCATGCCACACCATAACAAACATAATCGAGCATGGCAGAACACACCTTGACATTACAGCTCACATCACGACACAGCATCACATAACGTGCCAGAACACGACAGCAGAGCACAGCGACACATGCTAGCAGGCAGACCGTGATGTACTGTATCGAGACGAGCCGTCAACAACCATATCTTCACATACCATACCAGAGCATAACATAACACAAGACGCAATGACACAACATACCATACCATAGCCGAACGTACCATAACCCACCATGGCAGGACATGACATATCATATCATGGCACAGCAACACGTAATCCACCATGACACGACAGCGAAGCATAGCGAATCATATTAGCAGAGCAGGTCATACTATACTATACTGAGCCGAGCTGCCAACCGCATCAAGGACCAGGGCGTACTATAGCACAACTTGGCATAACATAGCATGTCATGACAGTGTGCTGCAGAGCAGATCATACCATCAGATCTTAACGCATATGGTGACATATATTTGCATGGCATAATCTACACCGCGAGAAGATATACAAAAGAGTGAAGAGGGACACTGTAACAGACGGCGCATCTAACGTCACAAGCGTCACGACGTCACGCCGGCCCGTGGAGAACCTAGCCGGACATAATTTTGGGCATAACGTGAGAGAGCGTGACGACATCGAGCACGGTTGAAATGCTTCTGAGTCCAGCCGCGGCAGTTGTCGACTCATTGGGCGGCCGCTTGCCGTCGGGAACACACGCTTACTCCAGATTTCGTAATAAAGGGAGGGGGGTCTCATTTCGGGGGGGGTCTCTTCCAGGCTATCTTGGGGGGCCGGGGGGGGTCTGGGGACGATGTTTTGGAGGGTTCTCCCGCGGGGGAGGTCTGAAATGGCTTGTCTTGGAGGGTCCAGACCCCCTCCCTTTTATTACGAAATCTGGAGTAAGGTTTCGGTTGGGATCGCAGGAAACAGCATTTTTTACGAGCGTGGCCTTGGGAGTAGGGAGGACGCACGCAGCGGTCCGCGAGTAGAGAGGCGGGGTGCTTGTTCGCAGGCGACAGCTCTACAAGGCAGCACTTGGCGTTCTGCGTTACGACGCCTCTGCCCTCCTTCGCAGCATCGCCCTCCCCACATCCAGACCTCCTCCTCACCCTCATCCTCTCCTCGCACACCCTCGTCATCGTCCCGACTCCCCCCCCTCGCCCCCAATATATCCGATCCCCGTCCCCATCCATCCCCATTCTCGCTCGCCTGCTCCCTTAGCCTCCGCCTCCGCCGGGGCAGAGAAGCGTCCCGCGGCGGCAGGCTCTCGGAGAGGCTGTGCGGCAGTGCCCTTTCTGCAAGGCCTCCGCTCCCGCCTTGCGGCCGCCCCCCCCCCCCCCGCCCAGCGCGCGATGGTTTTTCTACCTGAGGCCTCCTCCGTTTCATCATCCCTCCTCTTCTGTGCTTCGCCTTTCATCATCACCCTCCTCATCCTCATCAACATCACCATCATAATCCCAATCCTCATCATCATCACTACTCATCATCACCATCATCATCATCGTCGTCGTCGCCGTCGTCGTCATCGTCATCGAAATCGTCAGCACTACCACCACTACTACCATCAACATCCTCATCCTCGTCCTCTCCCTTGTCATCATCCTCCTTCTCCTTCTCCTCCTCCTCGTCATCCGCTCCCGCCTTGCGGCCGTACCTCCCGCCCCGCCCCCCCCTCTCAGCGCGCGAGGATATTGGTACCTCACGCCTCCTCCATTTCCTCCTCCTCCTCCTCCTCCTCTACATCATGACCATCATCAGCAGCAGCATCATCATCACCACCACCTTCATGGCCATCGCCATCACCATCGTCATCGTCACATCATCGATAGCACCACCATCACCATTACCAGCCTTGTCCTCGTCCTCCTCCTCCTGCGCCTCCTTCTCGTCATCACACCACCAACATCACCCTCAGCATCATCATCACCATCATGATCATCGTCGACATTATCGTCGCCATCAGCAGTATCATCAGCATTATCATCGCCGTAACCATCATCGATATCATCACCATCATGCTCATCATCATCTTCGTCATCAGCATCACCATCATCGTCGTCATCGCCATCGTCATCATCATCAGCAGCATCATCATCCTCACCATCATCAGCTTCATAATCAGCGTCATCACCATCATCATTGTCTTCGTCATCACCGTCAGCATCGGCACTGTCATCATCACCATCGTCATCACAACAACGACCATCCGCATCATCATCACGATCGCCAACATCATTATCATCATCGTCATCTTCATCTTCATCATCATGTTTATTATCATTACCATCATCATCATCGCCGTTGTCCGTGGTCGTCGTTACCATAATCACCATCAGCATCGTCATCGTCATCATCATCAGCGTCATCATTATCATCATCTTCATCATCAGCATCAGCATCAACATCGACGTCGACATCGACATCGTCGTCGTCGCCACCATCCTCGCCGTCATTACCATCGTCATCATCGTCATCTTCATCATAATCATCGCCATCATCACCATCGTCGGCATCATCATAGTCATCATAATCATCATCAGCATCATCATTATCATCGTCATCATCATCACCATCATCATCATGATCAGCATCAGCATCAGTATCATAATCACTATCATCAGCTTAAGCTGCATAATCACCATCACCATCATCGGCATGCCAAGAGATCGAAGGGCAATGGGAAAGAGCCTGCAGCGGCCCCGCCAGCGGCCACCCCGCCCGTGGCGCCTGCGAGCTCGACCGCCGCCAGCTCCTGCCGGGCAGCGGCGCCGGCGCCAACCGCCCCGCCAGCGGCGCCTGCGAGCTCAACCGCGGCCAGTAAAATCCAGGCAGAGCCGTCGGCGCCAACAGTCCCAATGCCGCGCTCGTCTGCTCCGTCCCCGCCGCCAGCGGGCGATCCGCCGGCCAAACGGCGAAGGGGTGGCCAGTGCGGCATGGGAGTCGCCACGGAGCCCGAAGTGCACATGCCGCTCCACGGCGACGTGCCCCCTGCGGCAGCGCGCGGCCCTCGCCTGCACATCGCGGGGGACGTCGTGCTGTGCGTCGCCTGCGGGTCCCACGTGCATCGCGGCATGCGCGGGGCGCTTCTGCAGGCGTGCGTGCCAGCGAAGGGCCGAGCACTTTCGCGCAGGCAGCACGTCGACGGCTTCTTGGTGGGCAGGTACGCGCGCCTTGCTGCCAGCGCATCGGCCCGCTGTGTGCCACCGACCAGCATGGCGGCGCTGCTCGGTCCCCGGCTTTACCTCGCTGCTGGCGGCCAGGTCGGTGCCGCGGCAGAGGCGGCCGCGCCACTCTGCACGAGCCTGCAGCGGGCGGGCTGCCTGGGCGGCAGACGAGTCGCCGTGGAGGCCGCTGGGAAGCAAGTGGCGCCAATGAAAATGTTGGCGCGAGTCCGCACCATTCAAGGGCACCAGATTTGGGGACCATCCATGTAGGAGGGCGGTTCATGGGTCCAGGCGGGGGTGCCACACGGAGGCACCTCTTCTGCCTCTCCCCCCTGCTCCTGGTCCTTCTCCCTTCCTTCGCCCAGTTCTTTCCTCGCCCCCATCGCTTCACACCCATTCACTCTTGTCCGCAGTGGCGGGCGTCGGCGTGTACTTTGAACAGGTCACGATGGCGCTGCAGGGTCTTACGGTGTTCGTCCATCCCCTGTCGAGGAGCACGCGCACACTCTGGGCGTCCGCGAGGGATGTGGGGTAGTTTGGATCATGTGTCTACTGTTGGGTGGTTTCGTGGACCGATGATTGTGTGCCATCTGTGTCGCGCCTATATGCTTGACCTGCTCTGCACCCAGCCTCTGTACATGCTATTTCCCGCATGCGTCGTTCGCATGGAGATGGCAGTGGGTCAGATGAAGTATGAGGTGTTGGGCATCACTTCGAAAACCAACGCGTAGCATACGATCTATAAGGCCGTTGGTACCTAAGTGTGTCTTTTTCAGTGAATCATCAGCACCCCCCAGAATTGCAAAGAGGTTGGAGTGAGGAGGATGTGGTGTTTGCGGGGGCAGGGCAACGAGATTGCGGGGCTGATGATGATGATGACGATGATGATGATGATGTTGATGTTGATGCCCAAGACTATGTTGCTGGTGAGGATGATGATGATGATGATGATGATGATAATGATGATGATGATGATGATGATGAGTGTGATGATGACGATGATGTTGCTGCTGATGATGATGGTGATGCTAGGTATGACGATGGTGACGATGATGCTCATGATGATGACGATGATGCAACTGATGATGATGTGGTGATGCTGATAGGTATGATGATGATGGTGATGGTGGTGATGGTGATGGCGATGATGATGGTGATGATGACGATATTATTGTGATGCTGATTGGTAGGATGGTGCTGAAGTCGACGATGACGATGCCAACGGCGACGAAACTAATGTCAGTTGTGATGTTGATGACGGTGCTGATCGTGATGATAGCGATGGTGATGGTAATGGTCATGATGATGATGATGGTGATGATGACGACGTTGATGACGATGTTGATGCCGACGTTGATGACGATGCCAATGGCGGCGATGATGATGCTGATGATGATGCTGATGACGATGACGATGATGATGATGCTCATGATGATGAAGCTGGTGGTGGTGGTGATGGTGATCAGTCTGATGATGCTGATGGTGATGATGATGCTTATAATGACGATGCTGATGATGGTGGTGGTGATGATGGTGATGGTGATGGCGATGATGATGGCGATGATGACGATGACCACAACGTCGCGTATCTTGAGAATGACGATCGTGATGATGATGATGATGATGATGTTGATGCTGATGATGATGTCGGTGGTGGTGGTGATGCTGCTCGTGATGATGATGATGATGCGGCTTGCGGTGATGTCGATGCAACCGACGGCGAAGTCGATGCTGATGGTGTTGTTGCTGCTGTTGATGATGATGAGGTTGATGATGATGATGATGATGCTGATGCTGATGATGATGTCGGTGGTGGTGGTGATGCTGCTCGTGATGATGATGATGCGGCTTGCGGTGATGTCGATGCAACCGACGGCGAAGTCGATGCTGATGGTGTTGTTGCTGCTGTTGATGATGATGATGATGTTGATGATGATGATGATGATGATGATGCTGTTGATGATGATGATTATGATGATGATAATGATGATGATGATGGTTATGATGATGGGGAGAGGGAAGAGGAGAAGGAGGAGGAGGAGGATGGTAATGATGAGAATGCTGATGAGGATGGTGGTGGTGATGGTGCTGGTGATGATGATGCTGCTGCTGATGAGGAGGAGGATGCTGATGACGATGATGATGGCGCTGGTGATGATGATGCTGATGCTGATGATAAAGAAGATGATGTTGATGATGCTGATGGTGATTGTGATGAGGAGGATGAGGATGAGGATGCGGACGATGCTGCGGACGATGCTGCGGATGATGATGATGATGATGATGATGCTGCTGCTGATGATGATGATGATGATGATGATGATGATGATGATGCTGCTGCTGCTGATGATGATGATGATGATGATGGTGATGATGATGATGATGATGATGATGATGATGATGATGATGATGATGATGATGATGATGATGATGATGATGATGATGATGGAGATGAGGATGATGAGGATGAGGAGGAGGGGGATGATGATGAGGAGGAGGAGGAGGAGGAGGAGGAGGAGGGAGGTGGCCTCCCGCCCGGGCCGACATCGGCGAGGTCGCCTGCGTGAAGCAGGACGCGGATGACTGCGACCACATCTTCTGCCGCTGCGGGCGCGAGTTCTGCTGGCAGTGCGGCGCGGACCGCGAGGCGGGGGCGGGGAACCTCGGAGGCGCAGCGGGCTGACATTCGGGGGGGGGGGGGAGCGCGGGGGGCAATGCCCCGGGGAGTGTCGCCGGAGGTGGGGGGGAGGGTGGGGGGGAGGCTGGGGGGGAGGGCGGGGGGGAGGGCGGGGGGGCGGGGGGGGCGGGGAGGGCGGGGGGAGGTGGGGGGAGGGCGGGGGGGGGGGAGGGTGGGGGGGAGGGCGGGGGGGAGGGCGGGGGGGGAGGGGGGGGGGTGGGGGGCGGGGGGGGAGGGTGGGGGGTGGCCGGCTCGTCCTGAGGATCGAGGCTCGGGGGCCCGGGCCGCCGACGAGGTTTGCGGGCGGTCCCGAGCGCGCTGCGACGGGTCCGACGGGCAGGGCTCGAGCCAAGCGGTGTGCTGGCGATTTCGTGCCCCGTTCCCAGACCCCCTCGAGGTATGAAAAAATCACGACGGGAGGTTTTTCATTATTTTTGGCCTCTGGGGGCCCTTACCGGCCCTCGGGACCGTCAAAAAATGACTCAGGACGAAGAACCGGTCCCGGGGAAAGGGTCCAGACCGCTGAGGGTCGACGTCATGAAAAATTCATGACGTCGGGGGTCTGGGTTCTCGTCTTGATTTCGCCTCGCAGCAGAGGCGGAGGGAAGACAGAACGAAGGATTACGAACACAACACGAAAACGAGAACCGAAATCCGAAAACGAAAACCAAACGTGTAACGCAAAACACTGTTTAGCTCGAGCCCTGCAGGATCTTGCAGGGCCAGGGGCGCACTGACCCGGGCTTGGGTGCAGGATCCTGAAGGATCCTGCAAGGCCTGACTGACCCGGGTCTGCATTGGCCCGGGTCAGAAGATCCCCGATTGAGCAGGCCCGTCCCTTCTCACTTCCCCCCCCTCCCCGGCTCGCCGCCGACTGGTGGCCCCGGCTGTGGCGAAGACCGACGGCGCCCCGAGGAGGAGGAGGAGGACCAGGAGGAGGAGCAGGAGGAGGCGCCCCCGAAGGGAGGGCGAGGGCGGGCCGCGCGCGCGGCCCAGCAGCCCCTGAGGCGGCAGGCGCCAGACCCAGAATGGCTAGGAGGAGGAGGAGGAGGAGGAGGAGGAGGAGGAGGAGGAGGAGGAGAAGGGGGAGGAAGAGGACGAGGAGGGGGAGGAGGAGGAAGAGGAGGAGGAGAGGAGGGAGGAGGGAGGAGGGAGGAGGAGGAGGAGGAGCAGGAGCAGAGGAGGGGAGGAGGAGGAGGAGGAGGAGGAGGAGGAGGAGGAGGAGGAGGAGGAGGAGGGAGGAGGAGGAGGAGGAGGGAGGAGGGAGGAGGAGAGGAGGAGGAGGAGGAGGAGGAGAGAGGAGGAGGAGGAGGAGGAGGAGGAGGGAGGGAGGAGGAGGAGGAGGAGGAGGAGGAGGAGGAGGAGGAAGGGAGGAGGAGGAGGAGGAGGAGGAGGAGGAGGAGGAGGAGGAGGAGGAGAGGAGGAGAGGAGGAGGAGGAGGAGGAGAGGAGGAGGAGGAGGAGGAGGAGGAGGAGGAGGAGGAGGAGGAGGAGGAGGAGGAGGAGAGGAGGAGGAGGAGGAGGAGGAGGAGGAGGGGGAGGGGGAGGAGGAGGAGGAGGAGGAGGAGGAGGAGGAGGAGGAGGAGGAGGAGCTGGAGGAGGGAGGAGGAGGAGGAGGAGGAGGTGGAGGAGGAGGAGGTAGGACGAAGAGGAGGAGCTTGGCATCGCTCGGGCGTGTGCGTTTTTGTTCGGGGAAGGTCATCGAAGAGCAGATCCCGAAGAAGAGATAACGTCATATGCCTCAACTTTGAGCGCTCCGCGTGGATTTCCTGGATCCGCGCTTAGGTACCCCAGCGGCGCCTCCGGCGCCGCCCCTGGCGTGCGCTTTAGGGAGGGGGTCCAGCGCAGATCCAAGACATCCGCGCGGAACGCCAACAGTTTCTGTTCATGCCGTGTTTTCTTCTTCTAAGATTGGATCATCTTTCGGGTAACATGCACGCACGATGCCGAAAACACGCACGGGGAATGGACGTCCGAGCGATGGCGAGGGGCCTGCGGCACGTCTGAGCAGGCGCGTGTGAGCACGCCTGGACCGGCGGGCTGCGGCCTGCTCGTCGCGCGTCTCTCGACTAGACGTGAGAGTGACCTTTTGCTGGAGTGACCTTCGGTGCGGGCCCAATGGGGCCTCGTGATCGCTTAATTCGATGCTATACAGTGGGGCCTATGCCAAGAAACACCCTGCTTGCCTGCATGGTGCCAGGGTGTTCTTGGGTTTCGATGGTTTTGCTGTGGAGGGCGTGAAGTTCCCACACCAAAAACCAGTGGACGTCCTGGGGTCTTAGCGTTAGGTTCCTTGTGGAAGGTTTCTTGTGGTCGGGCCTCCACTGCACGGAAAAAACATGCACGCACGAAGCCGAACTAATGTACAGGAATGGACGTCCGAGCGATGTCGAGGGGCTTGCGGCCGTCTGAGCAGGCGCGTGTGAGCACGCCTGGGCTGGCGGGCTGCGGCCAGCTCGTTGCGCGTCTCTCGACTAGACGTGAGAGTGACCTTTTGCCGGAGTGACCTTCGGTGCGGGCCCAATGGGGCCTCGTGATCGCTTAATGCGATGCTATACAGTGGGGCCTATGCCAAGAAACATCCTGCTGGCCTCCAGGGTGCCCTGGGTTTCTTGGGTTTCGATGGTTTTGCTGTGGAAGGCGCGTTCCCACACCAAAAACCAATGGACGTCCTGGGGTCTCAGCGTTGGGTTCCTTGTGAAAAAGGTTTATTGTGGACGGGCCTCCACTGCGGCAGCGGCTTGCGCGCCTAGTGGTGTCCCCAATGCGCCGCCCCGTAGGCCTCGCCTTGGGTCACTCTCGCGTGTAGCCGATCGCTGTGCGCCTCGGCGTCGATTGCTCTGCACGTGCGCTCGTGGCTGCGGCGTCTCGGCGGCCGCCGTGCCTGGTCCGTCTCACGCTGTGGCACGCCTTCGCTGTGGGCGTGAGCTCTGTTCGAGGACTGCTGGGAGAGAGACCTCGGGGCCCCCAGGCCCCTGGGGGGTGGTGGTCTGGGTGATGTGGTTGATCGCGCATGCATGGCTTCTGCCTTGCGGAAGGGCTCATCCTCGCGACAGGGACGGCCCTTGTGGGAGCGCTAGTTCGACTGAGGTCGGCGGGGTGCGTGGGCCTTGTGCACTGATCGATCTTCGCCCGCCTCTCGTGGTCGCTTGTCTCAGCGGTGGCCTCTCTCGGCCACCTCGTGTCTGGACGTGCTGGCGCTTCCGTTCATGCAGCAGCTGCCCTGGCTTTCTCTTTTATTCCAAAATCTAAGACGTAGGCATCCTGCTTCTGTGCATCCCATATGATCCTTCCGGGCCCTCTCGGGGCCATGCTAGACGTAATCGGCCGAAGAACACGTTGACAACATTTGCATGCTCTGTGTGGCCGTGTCTGGTAATAGTGGTCCGTCCTTCTTCGGTTGGATCAGCAGTTCTGGCGCATCGCTGAGCTTGGCCAAGAATGCGGTCATGGGCCAGCACGTTAAGCAGCCGTTCTGCTTCGAAGGGATGGGGTTTTCGGAAGTGTGAGTCGCTCAGGGTGGTTGACTCAAGCCGTCCATTGCCCAGGAAGCCGCAGATTCCCGTCGCTCAGGAAGGCGCGCACCCTGGGCCTGCCTCCATCGCCGATTGCCCTGACAGGCTCCGCGGTCGCCAGGAGACGGGAGGCAGCCGCCGCTGGTCTCACCAGCATGCGAGCTTACGGCGTCGATCCCTGCCTCAGCGTCGGGCGCGCGGAGCCAGCGCGTGTCTTGGGCAGCCCGCGCAGCCTGGCGCGAGGAAGGTCTGGTGCGGCTCGCGCCGCGGGCCAGGCCGAATGCGGGCATGCCGCCCGCAGCCAGCGTGCACCTCCAGGCCGCTTCGTCGTCCTGTCTGCCGATGGGCCCGATGGGCCTGTGCTCTTGGTAGTCCTGTCTTGGGTAAAGATCGGCGGCGAGCGAGGGGGATAAGTGAGAAGGAGAGGGCCCTCTCAGAAGGCGGCGGGCCTTCTGGGAAGGCCTCCGGCCTTCTGAGAGGTGTTCCGTGTCTCCGAGGAAGGCTTCGAACACTTTTCAGAAAGAGGCCAGAGGACTTCCGAGCCTTCTGAGAAAGCCCGCCCTTTCTCACTGCCCCCTCGGGCTCACAGCCGAAAAGAGTCCCCTCAGAGGAATGGTCAGCATCCTGCTTACCCGCTGGCAGCGCGTTCGGCTGGACCGCTGGTTTGCGCGCCTGGCTGCGATTATTCAAAGAAGCGCTGAGAAGAGTAATTAGCCAGGGGGCACGCATTCCTGGTCTCCGATGCGATGTTCACGGTACGGTGGATTGTTGTTTGCGGTGCCGATGTTACAGCGCGCTGATCGCAAGGGTCCCAAACTCTGTCGTCGTCCTCCGCCAATCATTGCCGATTGCCGAGTGCTCTCGGGTGAATGGATAGTGTTGGCCTCATCGAGCAGTTTGGCGAGGAGGCCTGTCCGAACCGTGGATGGAGCACAAGCTCCCGAGACAGGGTTGCAACAGCTGTGCTGTCGCCCAGGAGGCTCTGGGACCACGACCTTCTGTTGAAGCGCCGTTTTGCCCGCGCTACGGTTCGTGGCCACCAGGCGCAGACTGAGGTCAGCCACCAGCCGTGACTCGGCGCCAACATCGCAGCGGTGTCGACTGTGCAGCGCTGGCTCCTGCTGCTCCTCTGCCTTTGTATGCCCCAGGGGGTCTTTCGCCTGACCCGCCCAAGACCCGCGCCGCAGGGCATTCGGGCCAGGAAGACGGGAGGAGGAGGAGGTGGACCAATTGGGACCTGGTTGAGGCGGAAGAGGGAGGTGTAGGCGGAGCAAGGGATGTGGAAGAGGCACAAGGGGGCGGTGGTCAGAATACGGAGACGGAGGAGGGGAGGAGGAAGGGCGGAGGATTATGAGAGAAGGCCGGCGGACGAGGAGGAAGAAGAGGAGGATGTTGTTGCTGTTGCCCGTGGCCATGACGACGATATGACATGTATGACGACGCCGACGACGTTGACAATAATGATATCAAAGGTTGGCGACGTTGACGATGCTGCTGCTGCTGCTGCTGCTTCTGCTGCTGCTGATGATGATGCTGATGATGATGATGATGATGATGATGATGATGATGATGATGATGATGATGATGATGATGATGATGATGATGATGGCGCTGGTGATGATGGTGTTGATGCTGATGCTGATGATGATGACGCTGTTGTTGCTGCTGCTGCGAGGTGATCATGGTGATGATGATGATGATGATGATGATGATGATGATGATGGTGATGATGGTATTGATGATGGTGAAGAGGCTGCTCTTGCTGGTAATGATGAGGACGAGGGTGACGAGGACGAGGACGGCGACGACGAGACAACGACGACGACGATGATGATGCTGCTGCTGCTCATGATAATGGTGAAAATGAGGACGGCCATGATTCTGATAAAGTTTGGGGCGGTACTAGGGCGACTATGGCGATTGTTAGGGTCATGACGATCATGCGTGTGCTGATGCTGATGGTGATGACCGTGACGATGACGACGATGCCAGCGATGTCTATGATGTTGCGGCTGGTAACGCGACTAAGTAGGATGAGGACGACGACGGCCAAGACGACGACGAGGTGGTCCAGGGATGATGCTGGCGAGGCAAAGAGTAGGATGATGATGTTGTTGCCCTTGGTGTTGTTGGTGATGGCGACGGTAATGACGAGGAAGATGAACAGCAGGATATTGAGTAGGGGAAAGAGGAAATGGATGGGGGGAGGAGAAGGCGGATGAACATGATTGAGCATGGGGGATGGAAGAAGGAGGATCGAGGATGGAGGGTGGAGGGGATGATGCGGGAGCTGGACGGTCGCGAAGGGGGGCGACAGGTGATTTTCCATCACGGCAACCACCACCACAAGCCCAGCTGCCCTTTCTACACCGACTTTGCCGAGAGGAGTCCCAAGCTGGTCCCCCACTGCCCCCAGTGCAAGGCGGTCCGCCCCTCCTGATCTTCTCCTGGGAGGAGCGGGAGAGGAGGGTGCGCGCGGAAGCGGGGGAGAGGGCTGGCTGGGGGGCTGGACGTAAGGGCAGGGTCAGGGGAAGGGATAGACGGCGAGAGGCGGGGGAAGAGAGAGGCACAGCAGGCGAGAATCGATTCAGCCCCCCTCCCACATCTCGCGGCGCAGATTGCCGCAGAGCTGAGGTGCCAAATGATTTCATGGTCGCTCGTGGCCCTGGTGTACAGGGGGGATGCTGGATGCTCCAGGATCGTTCTGGTGGCCCTCGTGGCTCTTCATCTGTGGGGTGATGCCCAACGGTCGGCTCGATGGTTCCAGTGTGCCCTAACGTGGCATTCGCGAACGGGGTGACGCCCAAGATGCGATACTTGGTGGCCTTCATCGCCCTTGTTCTCTTCGTGGTCCGTCTGCATGTCTGAGTGCCGGCCGCGCGCGCTCGCTCCCTGCGGGTCGACTTACTTCGCCTCGTCGCCGCGCGCGAGGCCGCCGCCGCCGAAAGCTGCATGTGTGTGTAGTGATGCTTAGGGCCTGGCCGCAGCGCGCACTGTGTTTCGACTTACCCCGCCTCGTCGCTGCACACGAGGCCGCTTCCACCTGAATTTGTGTGTGTGTCTGTGTGTGTGTCTGTGTGTGTGTCTGTGTGTGTGTCTGTGTGTGTGTCTGTGTGTGTGTCTGTGTGTGTGTCTGTGTGTGTGTGTCTGTGTGTGTGTCTGTGTGTGTGTCTGTGTGTGTGTCTGTGTGTGTGTCTGTGTGTGTGTCTGTGTGTGTGTCTGTGTGTGTCTCTGTGTGTGTGTGTCTGTGTGTGTGTCTGTGTGTGTGTCTGTGTGTGTGTGTCTGTGTGTGTGTGTGTC